GCAAAAGAAATGAGGTGTCCGGAAACTCATTAAAAGTTGAATAATGGGGTGAATTTTGAGCATGAGTAAAAATTCTGAAGAAAAGGAAGAAAAGTGATGTTCAGACCACATTTCATGAGGGTAGCAGCCACTGAGCCTAAATGATCATACTCTTACAGTCAGCCTCATTACAAGCCTTAAAAAGACCTTTTTTTAATCTTGAGTGAGCTAAAACTAGTGTTGATTGGGAAATAAGGGCAAACCTATATGTGAAGTCATGCATGTGTTCATTTTTGTGAGTGTGAGAGTTGTATGTGATTCCAGAACTATAAATTGTTGAAGAATTGTGTGTAAATAGGGAATCATCATTGTTGTGAGGGCATTTTAGTACCTTTGTCAAGCTTGAATTGCCTTTGAAGCAAGTATTGTGAACTTGATCATCTTTGATAATGGTGAGTCACACCTTCAATCTTTGAGTGCACAATTGATCTTTGCATGAGTAAGTTGAGTCTTATTGTGTGCATTCATGATTGAGTCTTATGTAGCACTATTTGAGACATCCTTTTTGAGCTGATGAACATGAGTTTTACTTGAGGACAAGAAAAAGTTTAAGTTTGGGGTGTTGATTTGTTTAAGATTTGGACTCATTTAGGGCTTTGTTTATATAGATTTAGTGTCCTCAAATGCTTATTTTGTCCCAATAACAGATGTTTAATCCTTGGGTTTCAGGAATATGGATTAAGGAAGAAAGCAAGGACACTAACAGGCAAAAAGGAACAAACTAGGCTGAAAAAATGAAGAAGGGCGAGCCAGAGGATCGCCAAGAGCATTCTGCGTGTTGCCAAGTGGCTCATCAGACCACCTAAAGTTCCAGTGTGCCAAGCCCTGAAGGAAAGAACCAAGTTGGCGATGGAAAGGAGTAGTCGGCGGATCGCTGAGTGATTCCGCGAAGCCAAGATAGCTCGCCCAAAGTTATAGACCTTGAGGATGCTGAGTACCAAGGCAAAAGGAAGATCGAAGATACCAAAAGCCGAGTCACTGAGTTGTTTGGTGAGCCCAACTTACTTTGCCAATTGACTCTTCGCAACACATTTTTGGAATACGTTTTTGAACATTTAGTTTAGTATCAATTACTCTTTAAAACAATCTATTATTAAGTTTTGAGCATCTGGAGACAGTTTACTCTAGTTTTTCCTTAGCTTTGAAGGATTGAAGAAGTTCACTTTTGAGAATTTGGAAGTGGGTCTTTGAGAATCTTCAAATTGGAGCATTGTAAGGACAAAATCACTTTTACCCAATTGATGGATAATCAATTTGGTAACAGTTTTTACCTTTTTATAATGTCTAGCTAAAACCCCAATTCTTGGGGTGTGATTATGGGCTGATTTAACTTATGGGTGTTGCTAATTGTTAGTTTAAATGCTATTTAAAAGTGAGTTCAATTATTAATTGTGGTTTAATTTAAGAATTGTAGTTGCAAATTCAGTTCTATGTTTCTGTTCTTGGCTTGCTCGAGAGAGTGAATCCTAAACCCAATCCCACACATTCATCTCGAGAGAGTGAATGGATTAAGGTGTGGGATGCTCTTATTTTGCATACATGTTGATGTTTGAGAGAAATCACTTGATTCGGGTTAAATTGTTTGAGAGAAAATTTACCTCCACTATAAATTAGTCTACTCACTAATATTTATCTATTTCTAATAGTTGCAACTACCCATATGTCTATATTAGCCTATAATCTATCATATCCCAAAAACCCGTCTCATTATTGTTAACTCGTATTATTTGTGACTGTTTGTAGTTGTTAATCAAAAGAAAAATTCCCCTTTTGACATTCGTGTCACCCCTGAATTTGAATGATGTCTTTATTCAATCATTTCTATTCCTTTGACTGATTTGACCATGTTCACACTTCCCAATCAAATCTGAAACACATACCGCTCCTTGTGGGATTCGACCCCAATTCATTTAGTTGGGTTATATACTGATTTACGATCATTGACGCTTAGAATTGGATGGAGTGTGTTTGAAACGTCAATAAGAGATTTAGAACAACAGGCTCTTTATGGATAACTTACACGTGGATCAATTACTGTAAGAAACAAATTACTTCTTTTGTTCAATGAAAAGGTGGATCACAGGTGTGGAAAATTATTTTAGAAAATAGAAATTTACTTGAGAAGGAGATGTGGTGGGAACCGAGAGAGTGTTCAACTAGTATTTGGTATGGTAACTGGACTAAACTTGGACCTTTACACCAAAAAATTCAGGAAGATATTCAAATAAATCACTCAATATCTGATATTAAAGAATTTATGGGAGCTGAAGGTTGGAATTATGAGAAAATGGAATCATATATTCCTTTTTCTATTGTGGAACATGTGAGGCAGAATATGGATTATGTTGAATTTACAAATCAAAGTGATAAACCATGGTGGATATTGAATATCACTGGAAAATTTTAACAGTGAACAGTGAATGGGTGTTATTGAGGATAAAAGTTACATTATCCTATTAGTTTAGCCAAATATGGGTAAAGGGTCTTCCTTTCAAGATTTCCTTCTTTATTTGGAGGTTATGGAAAGCAAAACTTCCTGCGGATGAAGTTTTGGCTAACTGTGGCATAGCAGTAGTATCAAGATGTTCTTGTTGCTACAATCTACAAGTAGAGACGATTGAGCACCTTTTCTTCACAAGAGATTTTGCTACAAAAGTATGGGACTAGTACTTTAATGGTGCAGGGCTACAGGGCCCATGGATTCAGATGAAGCAAACAATATTCAAATGGTGGGATGAACCATAAAAATGCTAAGATCATAACCATTTTTCAAGTCGCTCCTATCATTATGTTGTGGTTTATCTAGAAAAGAAGAAATATTGTATTACATGCGGGGACATATTCTCTTGGAAGGTGATTCATGACATAAATGATACTATCTTTAAGTTAACTAGAATGAGGTATCCTTGGTTTCAAAATTTACCTAAATCCTAGCCACATCTAGTACTCCTATTGGAAAGATACAAACCAAAAACAGAATATATATTGGTGAACTGGCTTTGCCCACCACCTGGCCGGTTCAAATGTAAGACAAATGGTGCTTCAAGAGGAAATCATGGCCCTAGCTCAGTAGCCTTTTGCGTGAGAAATGAAAATAGGGATGTACTAGGAGCTAAAGGTATCAAATTACCTGACACTTCTAACATTATTACAGAAGCTATTCCTATCAGAGAAGGGTTCAAATTTTTTATTGACAGGTAACTCACTCCTATCATAATTGAGACAGACTCCCTTACCATGGTGAATATTATGGATGGTATTTGGAAAGTTCCATGGAGTGTGACATTGGAGGTCAACTCGATAAACAAATTAAGGGAAGGAGTGGTGGTTACTATTTAACATGTCTTGAGAGAAGGGAATACTCTGGCGGATATTTTTGCTAACCTAATTTTTGATTTTGTAGGTGATTTTCAGATAAATAATTTTCAAGAAGTCCCATCTTATGGGGAAAAAAATTATTAATCTAGCATAAAGCATAGACAGTAAGATTTTCATATCATAAGAAGTTAATAGCATTGTACATTAATGTCAATTGCCTAAAGCTATTTCATGATTGGTCGATTGGAACCATCACACCTGGTGAGAGCTTAAGGTGTTCATGGTGGTTACACACCAAGGCAAATAGAAATATTGTGCAGTATGAACATCTGCTATCCAATAATCTTTCTATCTATGAGTTACATCAAGTATTTGCAGAATTATTATCTATCAAGTTAATGTACATATATCATTGGACATTTCATCTAATGATATCTTTCTAAAGTTTGGTATTAGCCTCTACGGAAGCTCATTCACTAGGAAGGATGACAAGAGATGAGGTGTTATCAGTTTCCACAAAGAGAGTACAAATCTGAAAAGTATAGTTAACAAGATAAGTGGTCGAAGCTCAATCTAATAGATTTAATGATCTTGCAACACACCGTCCCCAATTGCTCAGACGAATCTTCAACCGCCATTTCTAAAGAGCTTTGGCTATGATGGTAGCAGTGATGGATGACTTATGTCTCAAATCGAAGTTACAAAGATGAAATCTTAAAAGGCATTTGTTGATGATGAGCTAAGAAGTCCAAACATTGATGATGTTCTTGAAAGGTTTCCTATTTGATTTCTAATGTTTATTGTCTTCTCTTAGGTTGTTTTAATTTGTTTCATTTAAGTGTTAGAAGACTTTGGGCATTTGGACCGAGTCTATTGGAGTTGAAGTGGGCCTTTTGGCTTTTTCTTAATAAATTATGGTCATTGACCATTTTTTATTAAAAAAAATATATATCTTTTTTTAATGTATTTATATACTAATGTTGAATAGTTTTGGCTTCCTCGTGTATTTACTTATTTAAATTGTTGAATCTCCTTGGTGAAAATTAATCCTGGCTCCACCATCGCATTAATCATCTCTTACTTTCCGTTGACTCAGAAGGAGCTTCCCGTAGACCCTAACCAAAGTGCAAGAGTAGAGGGCATGCATTTGAGCCTGATCTCTAAAATAGTGAAATCCACGTTAGAGCTCCACTAAGGTCAAGGGCAACAGCGAAATAATTTGCTAATGACAAAGATAAGACACTTGGCCTAACTCAACCCCAAAATCTACTTTATGATGGTAGGATTGTTCAAGTCCATATAAGCAGACCATCAATTCATTCTCCAAAGATTATAACCCCACCCCCCCCACGCTCAGGCCCAACTAGAGTGTAGATCGTGAACCCAAACTGGGAATGAACCTTATTCTAATAACATGAAAAACATGACACTTGAACCTAACTCAGACCCAAAAACTAGCTTATGAGGGACCAGTTCATTCCCTAATGTGGGAATCTAACATACTCTAAAAATATGAAATAATAATAGAAGAATAACATATCATAAAATACAATATAAGGATAAATTTGGATATTTTCCTATAATGGAAAGTCTAGTGATAAATGAGGGGATGGGGGAGGGAGCAAAATGAAGATGTAAATTACTTACTGAGTATTGGTTGGATTGGAGAATTCTTGAAGCATATAAGCATTAGGTGTAGATTCCAAAAGATCATAAGCTTTCTTAATAGTTCCTCCCATTCCTTTAGTTGGATCAGTGATCACTAAATCAGCTCCAAATGCTCTCATGGTTACCCTCCTCTCCAAGCTTCTGTAGGATGGCATTGTTAAAATCATTTTGTAGCCTTTCATGGCAGCCAAAAATGCCATACTTATTCCTATATTCCCTGACGTTGGCTCGATTAGTGTTGTTTGCATATCATCCATAAAATATATATATATAAGACATGCACAAAATCTATGCAACTGGTATCTCGTTCATATCATCTGTCTTTTAAGATTTTCGTACACCTCTTAAGAAAGAGCCATGTTTACTTACTTTTGGGTGATTAATCCTTTCTTTTCTGCATCATTAATCATAGCAAATGCTGGTTTGGTCGAAAAGGAAAAAGTTTTTTCAAATTTTGAAATGAAACATGTCCAAACGTCCACTTCATATTTAGAAAAAAATTACAAGAAGTAAAAATGAAAGAAAGTAAATTACCAAATAATTTACCTATCTTTGATACTAGAAGTAGGTTGCATCATTTCTTGTTTAACAGCAATATAAGCACCACATCCTTCACTCACTTTGTTAAGATACACCAATGGTGTTTTCCCAATGAGCTGAATTGTGGAAAGATTACAAATCAATTGTATAATTTACATAATCAGGTCATATATAATGTAATTATAGATATATCTTCATCACAATCATTAATTGGTTATATAATAAAATTTGAACTATGTTAAAGTGTATTTTTATAATGTTGTGCATAAAACTTAGAAGGTAAAGTTGTTCTCATGTGATCAAGAGGTCACTGATTTTAATCGTAAAAACAATATCTTGTAAAAATGAAGGCTAAGATTTTGTACAATAGACCTTTGTAATTCGATCACTTTCCGAATCCAGTGCATAGTAAGAGCTTAGTGTACTTATCTAACTTATTTTTAACAAATAATCCATCCATCACAACAAATAAATGAATGTTCTCATTTTCCACTCAACTTTGAACGAAAAAGAACATTAAATTAGCGTAATGATGATTACGGTTCTTGAGCTGATATATCATATATTCTTACAAGTGGGAAACTCCAAAGTAAAAAATGGAATTACCATTTTGCCCCTCTACTAAATTAAAATTTGACTAAATATAAATATTTTAATTACATAATGGTAGAATTTGAAGTCCTTAAGCCCTTTAATAATTAAATTATCATTTTCTTGATAAATGAGTACATTCATATTGCTTTTAATCGTAATCATAAATCTCCTAATGGAAGAATTTGAAAAGTTATGATATGGAAAGTCATTAATCACTTTAATGTATTTCAAAATTAAAATTTTAATTGAAAGGGTCATTTCCTTATGCTATTTATGAACCAACTTACAAAGATCGAAGCTCACAATAGGAAATTGAATTAAGGAAATTGCACAATTCAACATGAAAAAATAAGAGAGTTAGAAGTTGAAAGTGAGGATTGTTGAAGGAAGCTGATGGAATATGTCGAAGGAACAAGTTAAATGGAGCTGACTGATGAGTTAAAGTTGGAGTTACACTAGGACTAGACTACTGAATTCTAATTTATGTGCAAATCTATGTTTTGTATGACTAAAGTTGATGTAGTCGACTAGGATAAGGTGTAAATAATATATTTGTGTTGTATTAGGATTCCTAGTGTAACTAGTATAGGACTCTTCTCCTATTTAAGGATTATGTAACTAAACAATTCAATTATCAATACAATCCTTGATTTCTCCATACTTTACATGATATTTCTACATGGTATCAGACCATTAAAACTTTTTCACTTTTTAACGTATTAGATCAAAGTCAAAACAACCACAATATCAAATTGCAATGGCCCCTTCTACTAACACCCTTTCAACCTCCTCACTTTATCATCTTATTTCGTCATGTTCCATTAAACTTAAGCCAACAAACTTTCTTTTATGGAGGACACAAATGTCTCAGTTGATTCAAGTTATGAGATTAATCTACCTCATCACAGAGAATGAACCACCTAAAGGTACATGTTCCACTAGACAAACTACTAAGAATGTTGTACTAGGTGAGAAGGATGCAGAAGACAACAACATTGTTGATAGTAGGAGAAGGATGTGCTGCTAAGGAGTTAGATCTCAGGCACTTTGACAGAAGAAAGCATGTACCTGATCGTAGGCTGCTCAACTGCCAATGAGATGTGGGAATGTTTGGAAGAATCTTATCTTCAAGCAACAAAAGATAAGAAGTTCCAGCTCAAACAAAAACTACAAAGTGTGAAGCTAGGAACCAAAATGATTGATGAATATATTAAGGAACTCAAAGGCATATGTGATGGCCTTGCAGCCATTCACAAGCCTGTAGATGAGGATAAAAAATGATTAATTTTGCTAGAGGTCTAGGTCTTAAATACAAGACCTTCAAGACTATCATGCTAGGCAAGGCACCATATCCTACTGTTAATCAATTTATTAATGCTCTCAGGGGTTTTGATATGAGAGAGGATGAAGAAGAAGTGCCACAACAAAACCATAACATGGTATTTTCTGTCCAAAGAGGCAATGGAAGAGGAAACTACTCTCAAAGAAGAGGAAACAATAACTTCAATTCTAGAGGAAGAGGCTTCAAGCCTGCTGGAAAGGGAACATACTCTTATAGCAGCATAAACGGACCAGGTCCTCATAACAGTCCTTAAAATGGAAGTCATGAGAGGAACAATACTTATGTGTGTCAAATTTGTGATAGGATTAACCATACTACTCTTAAGTGTTTTTACAAGTGGGATTATTCCTACTAAGCCGCAGATGAACTACCACAAACATTGGTTGCTACTAATCTACAAAGTACTATTGATGACACCTTGTATGTGGACTCAGGAGCAAGTATCCATATGACACATAATTCAGGTATCCTAATTGATCTTAAACACTACAATGGACAAGATAAAATCATTTTTGGGAATGGATTAAAGTTAGACATAACACATGTTGGGAACATATCTGAATCAGTCCTAAAAGTTAAAAGAACTTCTTGTAGTTCCTTAGATTAATAAAAATCTACTCTCAGTTACTAAGCTTGCAAAGGATAATTGTTGCACTCTTGAATTTGATGAAACTAACTTTGTCGTAAAGGACAAGAAGACAAGAACACTGCTAGCCAAGGGATCTAAAAGGAATGGACTCTATGCTTTGGAAGATAATAATCTATAGGTTTTAACTGTTGCACCCTATTGGAACACGTCAAATAACATGTGGCATACTAGATTAGAACACCCTAGTTTGAAGTCTTTAAAATTTTTGAGTAGTAATTGTTGCATCAATGTTAGTAGTCAGAATAAAATGCTTATTGTTTGTTCTAGTTGCTAGTTGGGCAAGAGTTGTAAACTTCCATTTGGTTTGAGAAATAAAATTAAGAAAGAACCATTATTGAAAATTCATTGTGACTTGTGGGGACCTGCTCCTATCGAATCTTCTCAATATATGAAATATTATGTCGTTTTTGTAGATGATCACACAAGATATACATGGATTTATCCACTGAAAAATAAATCTGAATTCTTTGAGGTCTTTCTGAAATTCCATAAAATGGTGGAAAAAGAATTTTCTAAAGAAATTAAGATATTTTAGTGTGATGGAGGTGGAGAGTTTATCAAAACATACTTCATCAAGCATTTAGAAGATTGTGGCATTGTGAGATACATTTCATGTACTAACACACCTGAACAAAATGGTGTTTCAGAAAGAAAACATGGGCACATTGTGGAGACTGACCTAACTCTACTACTCCATGCTAACCTTCCTTTGTTTCTATGGGTTGACGCTTTCCTCACTGCAATGTTCCTCATTAATAGACCGCCCTCATCAGTCCTAAAGATGGTGACTCCATTTGTCAAGTTGTATGGAGAACAACCTGATTACAACAGCCTAAAAGTGTTTGGGTGTAGATGTTTCCATACATCAAGGGTAGCAACAAGTTCAGTCAAAAAACTTATCCTTGTGTGTTCATATAATACATCAGCTTATACAAAAGATATAGATGTTATCATCCTTCTACAAGGAGGGTTTACATATCCAGACATGTTGTGTTTGATGAAACACATTACCCTATGTGTCTCCAAATCAATCTCACACGAACATTGATGTCTCACCTCACCTTGCTACGTTTGTTGAATCTTTCTGTAAACTGCAGGCACACGATAATTCAGGGGAAATTACTGGTGAAAATGCTACTAAAACAACCCATATACTCCTTGATGACGAGAGTACTATTGACCTCTCAGGTGCAGGATCAGATAATGATCATGAGGAACAGGTTGACAATGATGACCCATACAGTAGTATTGAAACTCCAACTTTAGATTTCGGATCCGCTAGTGGCAATGAGGAACATGTTGAACTTACATGTCCAGTCCAATCACCTATTTTGGTCGATGTACCAGATGACCATCAACCTGAGATACTACACTTCAATCAACAACTTTAGTTGATGTACTAGTTGAGGTACTTCCTACACCACAAGGGATTCATATGATCACTAGACACAAGGCGAAGGAACATCATTTATCACTTGTTGCCCTCAGTAGCAAAGAAATTTTGAAGGAACCAAATACTACTAAGGAAGCACTTAGGTCACCTCATTGGCTTGCAGCAATGTAGGAGGAAATCAATGCCTTACATACTAACAAGACATGGATATTAGTGCTCCAATCTCATGGTATAAATTTGGTTGGCTCAAAATGAGTGATCAAGACAAAATTAAAAGCTGATGGAACAATAGATAAATAAAAGGTCAAGCTTATAGCTAGGGGATTCTAGCAGCTTGAAGGTGTAGACTTTAAAGAAACATTTAGCCCTGTGGTTAAAGCCACAACTATTAGGGTGGTTCTTTCCAATGTTGTAAGCTCAAAGTTTTAAGTTAGACAATTGGATGTCAAAAATGATTTTCTCCATGGTTTCCTACAAGAGGAGGTGTACATGAGTCAACCTACTGGATTTATTGATCCCAAGTATCCTTAACATGTTTGTCTACTTAAAAAGGCACTGTATGGTCTTAAACAAGCACCAAGAGCCTAGTTTTATAGGTTAAGCATGCATCTCTTACACCTTGGTTTAATTTGTAGTAAGGCTGACCCTTCCTTATTTCCATGACCTAGACCGTCGTGATTGACACCCACACTAACCCTCCGGTGGGAGATCCACTACTACAACTAACTACACAACTTAACAAAAAAATAGGCCTTTAAAGATACGAAAGCAGGTTTAAATGTCTAAGGGAAAATCGAGTTCCCATAAATTCTAAAAGTTTAACAAAAAAACTACTAAAACATTTGCGGAAAAACAACCCCTAGAAACTGAAAGTCAATGTATCAAAACTCTAATTACAACAATCTAAGAAGAAGGGGTACAACCCCGGAAGCTAAACATAACAACTATCTAAATAACTAGTCTAAGTCCGAAGGAAATGGACTAAACAAAATGAGAACTCATGGCAGCCTGGAAGAACTGGGTCACCCTTGAAATTTGGTCTCGATCAGTTGTCTCCTAAATGAGGTCTGCCAGTAGGCACCTCAAGATGCCCTGTACTCAATAAAGAAAGAGCAAGTGCAGTATCAGTACACAACCATAGTGTACTGGTAGGATCACACTGCTATTCCATTAAGTGAAACAGATATAAGCAGTCACAACATAGTAAACATGGCATGTACAAAAAAAAAAAATATATATATACACACACACACATCGGTTATCATTTTAGGAGCAACGTACAATTTCACATTCTCAATAACAAGTAGACTTGACAATTCAATGGTCCTCTCATAAAACCCATACCCAAACTGTTAGTGGTGCCCGAACGTGACACTTGATACCAATTAGTGTGTCGAAATGTGACACCCGATCCAATATATGTGTCCGAATGTGACACCCGATCCAATGTACATGTCGAAACGTGACACCTGATCCAATAAACACAACCACAATCACATTCACACTCATAATGTACATACTCATAATCATACAATCAAGTGTTGAATCATGGAATACATTTGTTCATTCATACTCAATTCATTTGGTTTGATCAATAGTGTTTCATTCACATACATACATGCATTACAATGAAGCAATTAGCAACATACATCACACAAACATGAAATCAAACCATCACCTACCTCGAAACAAAGCTTGAATCCTCCTAAGACCCTTGATCCTTCCCTTTATGGATTCGTTCCGCTTGTTCTAGGTCTACAATCAATTAATATAATACAAAGATAAATTAATCAAGGTCTAATTACCCGGATCATAACAAACCCACTAACCCAAGACCAAACCCATGATCCTAATGAGCAGCTAGGGCTTTTTCCACTGTCAATTTCAGGCCAAAACACTCCCATAACAATAATTACCCAACAATCTAAGTTCTACGGATCGAAAGACAGATTAGGGGAGTAAAATTCTTACCTTTAGAACCAAAAGTTGTGGAAAACTGTCAAGAACTCATCTTGGGTCGTCTCCTAACTCTTAAGAATGAAGTTTGTAGAAAAATAACAAAATTGGGGTTTTTCCCTGACTTAAGTCGTGACTGGACCGCTACAGCGGACCCCAACCCGCCACAACGACCCCCCCTTAGTGGGAATAATCCCACCCTAGCAGCTTGCACGGAGACAGAACCTTGGAATTTAAGTTTCAAACTCCCATTTCACAACACACCTTCAACCCTTGATATTCAAAAACTACCCCTTCACGCTAAGATAAGTTTCAGGAGTTCTACTTTCCCGAATTCGATTCTGTAAAGTCGTACGGGTTCCTTAACGTCTTAGCTATCTACTCATGTGATCAAATTCATAATTGAATCCCCCATTCATTCCTAGATTTCCCTAGACCTCCGTTACTCAGATTTCGTCCAAATCTGGCCTAGGCTACAATTTCTCAAATCACTACTCAAAAGTTTTCTAGCCCTAATTATTTCCCCATTGGCTTTCCCATAACGACGGGAACAAGTAGTTACAATAGATACAAATTTGCCCATCACTCCTCCCGAGTGATAAACTAGGAAAAACTGGCTAAAGTAAGAGTAGAGTAGTGCATGAATCACCGAACAACTAGGGATACTTGTCTCACATGTCCTTCTCGGTTTCCCAATTAGCTTCCTCAACCGGACGATGCTTCCATTGAACATTCAAGGACTTTATCTCCTTGGTTCTCATCTTCTGGATATAACAATCAAGGATTGCAACCAGTTCCTCTTCATACTAAAGGTCCTTGTCTAACAAAACTAAGTCCCACTTAATGAAGTAATCTCAGTCACCATGATACTTCTTCAACATGGACACATGAAACATTGGATGACCTCCAAATAAGCTAGGGGGTAAGGCCAATCTATAAGCCACTGGCCCTACACAGTCAAAACTCTCAAATGGATGAATATATCGAGGACTAAGCTTGCCCTTCTTACCGAATCTCATTACTTACTTTATGGGTGACACTTTTAGAAGAACTTTCTCACCAACCTGAAAGGCCATGTCCCTTACCTAACGGTTCACATACTTTTTTTTGTTGACCGTGGGCTGCTAGAAGCTTAGCTTGGATACTTCTAACTTTATCCTGAGCATCTTTCACCAAATCAATCCCCAAAAGTTCCTCGAACGGTGCCATGTCAATGCTGGAATGATAACTATTATTATAGGAGAACTCACACAATGGTAGAAACTTATCCCAATGTCCCCCAAAATCAATCACACATTCCCTTAACAATGTGCTCTAACACTTGAATAGTTCTCTCTGACTGCCCATCCATCTGTGGATGGAAAGTTGTACTAAGAGTGAGTGGAGTGCCCAACTCATCATGAAATTTCCTCCAAAACATGGATGTGAACTGCGTACCATGGTTTGATAATATAGAAAGAGGCATCATGTGTAGCCTCACTATCTCTTTCACATAAATCTTAGCCAACTGTTGAGCATTATAGTCTATTCTGACTGGAATAAAATGGGCTTACTTAGTCAATCTGTCAATCACTACCCAAATAGAATCAAACTTCCCCAAAGTATTGGGGTGACCAACCACAAAATCCATAGCTATCCTTTCTCACTTCCATCACAGAATTGGCATTATCTGAAGCAAACTTGCAGGACTTTGATGCTCATACTTTACCTGCTGAAAAATTCGGCACTTAGCCACAAATTCAACTAAGCCCTTCTTCATACCAGGCCACCAATAAAGTCGCTTCAAATCTCGATAAATCTTGGTCACACCCAGATGAATGGAATACCGTAAACCATGAGATTCTGTCAACATTTTCCAAATCAAGTTATCCACTACGGGAACACCAGTTTTCCCCTTAAAACTAAGCACACCTTCCGCATCAAGAACCATATCTTGTGCCTTACCAGACCCTGTCTTCTTTCCAAGCTCATTCAAATTTTCATCATCAAATTGTTTGGCCTTGATCTCCTTAATGAACGTGGGTCTAACCTCAATGATAGATAACACCACACCTTTTATTTGAGATGCCCAACTGCACAAACTTAGACTCCATGGTCTGAATCTCCTTGGCCAAAGATTGCTTGGATACACCCAAACAAGCTACACTACCTATGCTTATCGCTTTTTGGCTTAGTGCGTCTTCCATTACATTAGCTTTACCCGGATGATACTGGATGGTGACATCATAATCCTTATGTCACTCCATCTACCTTCGTTGTCTCAGATTTAGGTCATTTTGAGTGAATACATGTTGCAAACTACGATGATCAATAAACACCTCACATTTGACACTATAAAGGTAATACCGCCAGATCTTAAGGGCAAACACTACCGCTGCCAACTCCAACTCATTTGCCGAGTAGTTCCTCTCATGCACCTTCAACTGCCGCGATGCATAAGCTATGACATTCTTATCATGCATTAACACAACACATAAACCCGAATGTGAAGTATCACAATAAACAATGAAATCCTTACCTTTCACCGATAATGCCAAAATAGGTGTTATGGTCAGAAGAGTCTTGAGCTTTTGAAAGCTCTCTTCACATTTTTTCAGTCCATTCGAAAGGTACCTATTTTTTTTTGTCAGCCTTGTTAGATGCGTGGCCATGGAAGCAAAGTTTTTCACAAAACGACAATCGTAACTAGGAAGCCCCACAAAACTTCTTCAGTTACAGAGCTAGGCCGGACTCAAATCTTAACCGCTTCAATCTTTTGTGGATCTACCATTACCCCTTCTTTTGAATCTACATACCCCAAAAAGGCAACTGAATCCAACTATAACTCACACTTGGAAAATTTGGCATACAACTTTTGCTTCGCAAGGACACCCAAAACAATGCAAAGATGGTCAACATGTTCTTCCTTACTCTTACTCTTGGAATACATCAAAATGTCATCGATAAAGACAAAAACAAAAGAATCCAGAAATTGTTTGAACACATCATTCATCAAACTAATGAAAGTTGCAGGTGCAATGGTCAATCCAAACAACATCACTAGAAATTCATAGTGCCCATAGCAGGTAGTCTATGCACATCCTCATACTACCATCCCTTTTCTTAACAAACAAGATAGGAACAACCCATGCGGAAGCACTAGGACGACTGAAACCTTTATAAAAAAGTTCTTGGATTTGAGCCTTAAGCTCTCTCAATTCTACCTTAGCCATGCAATATGGAGCGATGGAAATGGGGAGAGTGCCCGGTTTCAAATCAATGCAGAAATCTATATCTCTATCTAGAGGCATACCAGGGAAATCAGAAGGAAACACTTCCTTAAATTCAGACACTATAAGAATAGACTCAATAGATGGAGATTCAACATCAACATCCTGAATATAAGCCAAATATGCCAAACATCCCTGCCCCTCCAATTTCCTAGCCCGAATAGGGGATATGACCTTAACTTTTTCCTATCCGGGATCTATAGAGTCATAGACTTAGCATTACAATTTCATACAACATAATAGGCGAACAACCAAGTCATGTCTAAGATTATATCAAAGTCAATCATATCCAAAATAACCAAACCAACCCAAGTCTGAAAACCTATAAACAAGATAGGGCAAGGATGATACACATGGGTGACTATGACAAGCTCTCCAACTAGGGTAGAAACATGGATTGGGGCATCAAGTATATTACAAGCCACATTGAATCCCAAGGCAAACTGAACTGACACATATGAATAAGTAGAAATCGGATCAAACAAGACAATAGCCATCCGGTCACAGACAAGAATAGTACCTGTGATCACTGCATCAGACACCTCAGTCATGGTCTTGCCCGGAAAGGCATAACACCGAACCCTGTCATCTTGATGGGCGACCTCTTTTCCTTGCTGCACTACTCCTCTACTTGCATTACCATTTCCCCAGCCTCCATGGCCTCGTTGATTTCCTCCTCGCCCACTTTGTGGACGCCCTCTACCATTATTACTGTTGCCCGCGGGTACCAATGCTCTAGTCTACTACTGCACAAATTCAAACATGCACGGGTGGGGTAATCTCTCCTCATATGCCAGGTTCTCCACAATTATAACATGTTCGTTCAAAAGATTGCTTGCTGCTCGCCGAAGGTCCTACTCCCTGGCTATCGTGAATAAAATTCTACTTTGGAGTTCCCGAGTAACTACCTGTAGAAACGGGCAACACTAACTGAATTGGTCTGGCTGTAAGTGTCGGCCTACCTGAACCTCTAGGTAAAAACCATGAAAGTTACCTGTGCTCTTAGGTTTTTTAGCTAAAACCTTGGCCTCCCGTCACGTCTAACTCCTTCCACTTTCTTCACAAAATCCGTCACCTCATTAAAACTTTTCCCTGCAGAGGTCATTTGAACAGACAATACCTATAACTCGGAGTTCAGTCCCTTGATGAATAGACAAATCCTCTCCTCCTCAATATTCACCGATTGTGAAGCATATATAGGCAAATCATAGAACTTAGCCTCACAAGAAGCTACAAACATACCACCCTGCTCCATAGCCATGAACTCATCCTTGTTGAGATCCCTCAAAGTTTGGTGCACATATTTTTCCAGAAACAGAGCATGGAACTGTATCCAAGTGAGTGAGGGCATAACTGACGATCTACATTCCACATATGCCCTCCCCCACTGCTTAGCCTCACCTTGAAGCTGGAAGGTCACGAACTCTACCCTATGCCGATGTACAATATCTAACTTATGAAGTCTCTCATAAAAATCCAAGATGAACTCATAGGCATCCTCACTCTCAGAACCTTGGAACACAAGTGACTTCAATTTCAGAAACTTAGTCAGCATCTCATGCTCATTACCAGTCATCACAAGACCCGAAGGCATCAGTACCTGATGTTCCATCTACCCTGGGAATAGTAGTAGTAACGGGGCGGTTGATCGGAGGTTAAGCAGCTTGCAATGCGGGAAGGACTCCTGGACCGACCAACCCCTTCAGGAAAGACATGATCCGTTGAGCTAACACTGGGTCTAAGAGAGGGACGCCGATATTTTTAGCCGGTGCATCCTCTTCTCGTCCAACATCCCCCTCGTCCTAAATCTCCACATTCTCTTCTACCTCTTCTTTTTGTGCAGGAGGGGTCTCTTCCCTTTAAACATTCTCAGTTGGGGCTCCACCCGTAGAGGGTGCCACTCTTCCTCTACCCCTGCCCCTTGCACTTAACCTACCCCTGCCTTGACCACGGCCTCTGGCTGCGGACTCCTCGACCTACGGGCTTGACATAATTGAATCTAGTGTTAACCATCTGCGGACAGAAGAGCGAAGGAAATTAGATACCAATTCGAATCGCCAAATACCAGTTGGAATCAAGTTATAGCACGAAAGGAGACAAGAGAAAATAGAGAGCTTTTCTAAAGTCCTAAAGCCTCTCGAAGTAAAGTACAAACGTCTCTGTACCGTTCCCCAAGACTATACCAATTGAAATCCTTTTTCTTTCTTAAATTTTGTGGGCAATCAAACTATTTCCTTTATTTATTTTTACTAGTCATATTTAGACTTAGAAATTCATTAAAAATAATATTTAATATGATCACTTTACTACACTACCTTTATCAATTGATGTTTAGTATGGTATCTTGAAAAATGATTAAAAAATAAATAATTAATACTAAAAATAAATCATAGAAAAATTATATGTTTTTCATATGTGAAAAGTGACATATGAAAATAAAAAAATATTTTTCACATAACAAACATGTAAAAGTGAATGGGTAAAATACGTTGTCCTTACTACAATCACATGTTTTTTAATACTTGTCATTTTACAAAATCAATACATAAATAAAATTATTTTTTCTATTTTACCCTTGAGAGTTATAGATCTTAAAAATATGTATTTGACTAACACAAAATACCTAAGTAATTAATTAATTCACAGTGATCAAATTAATTAATTAAAATAAATTAATTCATATTCATTGATTAAAACCTTGACTTTAAATGAACACTAAATGAGAGTATAATGATAAATTCATCTACTTTCTTGAAAAACGTCAAATCCAAAATAAGAACAATAATAAAACGGATGGAGTATATCATAAAGACAATAGAAAACGCATCTTAAAGTTGTCCTATTTTATCATTTGACTTTATTAAATTTAATGTTTTGAGAAATGTGTTAGATGATAAATAATAATATTTAATAGCAAGGATAAAATAATCATAAAAGTAAAATTATCTCTTGATTTTCTAAACTAAATAAATATTATTGAACAACTATTTTTAGTGTAGTGAACATCTATTGTTGGACGGAGGAAGTATACGTCGTTTTCTCTTGGAACGTGAGCCACTAAATGACTTATTTTAGATTAAAAATTTCAAGAAGAATTCTTTTACTCTTTTTCTCTTTAATTTCTTGTCCAATTGAAAAGGATAAATTTTTTTTACTATTATATCCTTAATTAATTAATTTTTATAAAGACAGAACTTTTGAAAAATCATAATTTTTTTATTTATGTACTTCATAATTTGAAAGATAAGACACCCTTTTATAATGGAAAATTAACATAATGGACCCTCTCACCACATCTCTAAAGTATATACAGATGAATATTTCCTATACCTAAAAATAGAAATTTATTACTCCCTTCGTCCAATAATAATTGTCCATCATATTGTTTTGATATATTCAATAGTAGTTGTCTATTTCACGAAATCAATGAATAATTTTACATTTAGTTCCTGATTTACTTTTATCATTTATTATAGTAATTTTGTTATTACACTTTTCAAGATATTATATTTATTATATTCAAATGGTAATATAGTAGAATTATCATTGTATTTGTAGTTTCTTGAGAGGTGGGCAAAGTCAATAATCAGAGGTGGACCCACACTACAGAGAGACGGTGCACGTGCACCCGGTAAAATTCTGAAAAAATCAAATGTATATTTATTTTGAAAAACTAGTAGAAATTAGGATATACTTAACAGTGCACTCATAATAAGCATAGAAGTGCTCTGGTGCAACTGGTACAAGCTAAAGATACCACCCTTGAGAACAGGGTTTGAATCCAACTAAAGACTTTTTTAAATTTTTTTTTTTTTAAGTTTAGCTTAGATCTCATATTTGAGCAATGTTTATATCGATACCCAAAGTCTTCAAATTCTGGGTTCGCCTCTGTCAATAATGAACTAGTATTATTAGACAGAAGGACTATAATTTTTTTTAGCATGCACACTCTCTCTCTTGTTTTTTTTTTTTTTTTACTTGTTTTGAATATTGCACACGTTTTGAAAAGTAATACTTCATTTATTTTTATTTACATGTTATTATTGTAGATTTCGCGTCTCTTAAAAATTAGATAAGTTTATTATAGTACGCTTATTTAGTGATTTATTGAAGTCATGTTTTTAATGAATGAACATAAATTAATTTATTTGATTAATTAAATTGACCAATGAATATGTATTAATAATTTGATTTTCTTATGTTGGTCAAATTCATACTTTGAAGACTAATAATTCTCAAGGGTAAAATAGAAAGAATAAGATCATTTATTCATTGATTTTGTGAAATGACAAATATTAAGAACTATATGTTTTTAACAAAAACGTCATATTGAACGAAAAAAGTATTCAATATAAGAATTATGACACTACTCATTATATTTATAATAATTGATGCATAATCTTACATCATAATAAATAATGCAATAAATAATTAATTAATTAAATTATAATATGAAAAGATATTTTTTAATATAGTAGAGTGACAAAATAAAATAAAATATTATTTTTAACAGAAAAAGAAGAAGAAGAATGGGCACGTTTAGTAGGAAGGTGGACCCGTGATGGCTCAAGTGGGCATTACAAGCAGTGTATGCCGCCGCTATAGTCATTGGTCAAAGCCCAATTTCAAACTTTTATTCACCCCAATGTAGGCCAAGCTACTAAGTGCTCCCTCCGTTCATTTTTATTTATCATATTTAATTGACACATTTATTAAGAAAATAATAATTGATATACGCATTTTATTAAACTATTCTCTATTAAATTATGTCTTGAAAAATAATTTGAAAAACAAGTATTTAATGTTGAGAGTAAAACATGAAAAAAAAAAGAAGTTATTATCTTTTCTTGATTTCTTAGAAGTGACAAGTAAAAATAAAAATTTATTTTATGAATAAGTGACAAGAAAAAGTGAATGACGGGAGTACTTCCTTCCTTCATAATTATTTGTTATCTTTTGAATTGGCACACCAATTATGAAAATAATAATAAACTTATTGACGTAATAATTTTGCCCTTATTAATTATAAAGTACATGATTTAAAATTTTAAGATTTTCAACAAGTTATATTTTTTTCAAAGTTATTAATTCGAAGTATAATAGGAATTTTTTTTTTTTTAATTTATAAAAACAGAGTAAAAAGGTATAAATAAAAAAAACTGAACAAATAATTAAGAATATAGGGAGTACTATTATAAATTATTATAATAATTATTATCACATTCATTGCAAGGTTCTTTCTTCTATACACTTTTCCATTCCTTTTTATATGTTCCTTTTTGGATTGCACTTGCATTAAGAAATTAAGTTGTTTTACCCTTTTATCCTTATTTAATATTTTCTTAAATCGACTTTTCAATAAATAATGAATACGCTAGATTTCAAAAATTAAAATGCATTTGGATGACTATTTGAATTTTTGAATTTATTTTCAAAATCAAATTTAATAGAATAGTGAATGGAGAGATTTAATCAATGTATGAAGTACTCCAATGAATATTAATTACTTATTACTTTTCCTAGGTTGGTCAAAGTATATATTTTCAAGACTAATTAACTACTCTATCAAGGCTATAATAGGAAGAATATGATAATTTGTATTGATTTTATGAAATGACAAGAAATATGGTCCAACTATTTATAGAAAATGATGACATATAAAAAGGAACGGAGGAAGTATAATTCATTACAAGTTGAATGACTTTA